CAGGAAACAAATTTTGAAACATTTTACACATTAAAAATTTTCAAGCAATTTTGGTCGCTTATGGTTGTCCTTGAGAAGAGTTCAAACGAGCGCCAGAAGGTTTTTTTTAATAGATTTCATCTTTAAAATAGCGAAAATGCTCTGCTTCCATTTCTGGTATTTTATGAAGAACGTGACTCTTCTTATAATTGACGAAGAGATCCAAACTAAGCAATAGTATTATAGTAGTTTTGATCCTTGAGAAACTGCTAGAGTATTTCTCCCGTATGCACATTGTTTGAGGTGATACTTATTCAGGATTTTCCTCAGCATCATTTATTCAAAGTTACTATAGAGAAATATTCTCTCCATTTATTTTCAACCCATAAGCAGACGTTTTATGCAGGGTTAGGCTGTACGGAAAGCTCCTTTGAGCGTTGGAGGAGCTTTTGTTACTTTTGATTTTTCAAACTTTGGAGTTTTCGTTGTCAGAAAATTCTTCTTTGACCACCCACGTCCCGTTTTATAAGCTGTTTCCGCCTGAAGACCGATATGTTTTCCCTTTCGCGTTGTCTGCTCCTTTTCCTCTTTGGAGTTTCTTTCCACTTTCGTTATCGCACTTTTTACGATTGGACCCTCATGTGTCAGAAGGCCGCCCCGAATTTTTTCCAACTTTTCCATTAAAGCTTGTAATCTCGGGTCTCTTTCTTTTCTTGAGAATGTCGGTGGCAAGGATTGTCTCTGATCTTCTTTCTCCATCTCTGCTGGATTTGGTTTCATTAGTCTCGTTTCATCCTGTGGGTTTGGTTGCATTGGTTTCGTTATCGCAAAAATTTCACTCTGATCTTCTTCCCGCATCTTTCCATGGTTTGGTTTCCTTGGCTTCGTTTCTGGAATTTTCCCTCCCTCATAATGTCCTGCCAACTTCCTTTTAATCCAGTCGCGCATATTCCAAAAATATTCAAGTTTCTGAAAAATTTAGTTGCATAGTAAAAATTATCTTGTAGATGACGATAACTTACCCCCGGATACTTTCTGCTGAAATCTCTAACTTGCGCAAGGTACTCAGTCAAAGTCAATTTTTTATGGCCAATGGCGCTGTATTTCTTGTAGTCTTCCACTAGAGCTTTGAAATATTGCAGTAACAGGTCATCAGCTTTCTTGATTAACTGCTCCTTCTTCTCAGATTCCTTTTGTTTTTTT